TCGTGTCCTCACTGCAAGAAGAATGACTGTGTGTCTACCACTGACAGTAAGACAAGATGGATCAACAGTCCCAAAGTTTTGTATGGTGTGTCACGCTACAAATATCTGGATACGAAGCTTTATTCATGCAGCAGATGCCAGAGGAAGTTTACGGGCTACAACAAGAAGTCTATGCAGCTGGACGCGAACATGTACAATGTCTTCTTTAATTTCTATCTTGGAGCAGACTTCGCTTGTGATGAAGAAGTGTACTGGACAGTTATCGAAGACTCCAGCTCGCAGGCTACCGCGGAGATTGCGAAGCGATTGAAGAAGATGGCATATTCATCCTACTATGATGATTATCTACTCTATCTTTCTGCAGTTGGTTTGGAGAAGATCCGGCCACACAAGAAGCTGCGGACTCTTGATTCCATTCTTGAGAAACAAACAGCGGCGTATGACCCACAGCTGGAATATTTGAAGTGGCGAAAGAATGAAAAGGGCCGTGCACTGACCGGCCTGAAGCTCTCCCTTTCCACCGCACGCGCAAACTGCAACCGGGATATTCAATTTAAGAATCTCCTCAAACCCAAGAAAGATCACAACGTCCATGGTTCGCAAAACATCCTGCGGGGTCTTGGTCCGGCGAAGCTGCGGCGGTTGATAGATAATGGAGTGAACAGCATGCACGAGCTGCTTGGCATTGACCTCGACATGGTAGACATACCGGTGCATCTTGTCATGCAGTGGCAGGACTGGTGCACGCAGTTCATCCAGCAATTCCATGAGCAAGTTGACATTTTGGAAATCCAAGTTTCAGATTGTCAGGTAGAGTTAATGGAAGCAACGCAGTCACTGAGAGATTATGAGACGCAGCATGGTAATCCAGCTCTGCCTCCAGATCAACAAGAGAGTGTGGAGGAAAGGAATGAGCAGCTTCCCTTATTTTCGGATTTCAATGAGAAGGATGGGTATAATGGGAAATATCTCACCAAGAGCCGCATTGACAGCATTGTCACCACTGTTTTCCACCAGCGCCGGACCTTTCAAGAAGCCAAGATGAGAGGATTGAATTGAAGAAAGTCTGGGAGGAGATTACCATTGCCAAGGAGTTGATGGGCGGTGCTTATGATGCCTCAGTTGTTACCAGAGTGGAAGATGTGGCCGATGAGGAGGCAGTAAAAGTCGTGTACGTCGACAACTGTTGCCAGGTGCATGGATTGGTTAATCGATGCTTTCCAGGGGCTGAAATCAAGTTGGATCCTTTTCATTGGCTGAAACGCTTCAATGACATCTATGCAGATGCTTCAAGCGCCCAAGCTGGTATCCTCCGCGGTCTATTCAGCAGGGCCTTATTCCAAGTCGAGCCAGGTGAATTCGAAAGAGCCAAGGAGTTGTTAACAGCCAAGAATGGTGGAAGGGAGCTAACAGTTAAAGAGGTTCTTAAAGAGGCCAAGTCTGTCATCCCAAGCGCACAGATACTTAGAGCAAATGTTGAAGCTGTTATTTGGTATGCTCAAGCCAAGGATGCAGAGATCGAAGCTGACTTGGCTACTCGTGCCGACAATGATACACATCCTATGCCCAAGCGATTCTTCAAGAACAGACCAGATGTTCGAAAGGTGATCTGAAACCAGTTGAAGCATGTCGACAAGGGATGTCTTACTGATCCAACAGTCGTCAATCTGTTCCGAAAGAATCCCAGAACAGGTGTTGTTTATGTGGCTAGGGGAACCAACACCAATGAGCGAGACAATTTGGATCTTGCTTATCGAATATTGAGGGCGTCACATATTGGTATGTTATTGTTACTGGTTCATTGTCATTGGTTTCATTTTTGTCTAACCGGTGACACACACTTCTATTTAGGAATACACCGGGCTGAGCGTCTTATGCGTAATTTCTTTGAAGAAAAGAATGATAGGAAAGCGATACTGCGACTTGGTGAAAAGGATCATGTTACCTCTCAAACAGAGAAGCTACTTGTCATTCGGAGTTATGCCCGGACAGTGGGCTTTAGTGATGACGTCCTACCATTTGCTGATGTTGCCGCTCCTTTGGTCGATCATGGAGATAAAGAGTATCTTGGCTTCTGCTATAAGATGCCAGACACGGTTCATGATGTGTCCAATCCTACGGATGCTGCTGGTAGGAATCGCTCACAAGATGGAAACGATGACGATCCTGAGCATCTGCCTGGTTATGAGAACGTTCATGGAGGTTCCCAACCAACTGAGGAGGAGCGACAACAAGCCACAGTGGAAGAAGCTGTACGAAATCAGCTTGGCGATGAGGCAGATGTTGAAGTTTTCGCCACTGAAGAAGAATACTTAGCCGCCATGCAATCAGCTGCTACTTCTAATGGGGACGAGCGTTTAAATACAGAAGAGGAAGCAGCCAACCGGCAAGACAGAATCAACAATGAGATTATTCTCAAGGAGTTAAAGTCTTCTCCTACCGCAGGATAATGGTCGTGAAACGTCACTGCAAGCCTTCAAGAGACTTACGGACCAGAAGCACTGGATACCCTTCCGCGATCCACACTCCAAGACACCACCAACAGCCGTGGAAACTGAAGAGGCAAGTCTCTTTGATGATTGGAAGAGTCGATTTGATCGCCGTGCCGACAGTGGAGGTAGAAGCTACCGTGCCTTGGAAAGAGAGTGGAATACTGAGGTTGCTCGCCGATTCAAGGTGTCGCTTACTGATGGTGATGACAACCTTATCCAAATTCGGCGAAAGAGCAGAGTTCAGTTAGAAGAATACTGTGACAAGTTAGAGAGTGTTGCTTCGCTTGATGCCATTGCACCAAGAGATGGAGTCGATCCATACCAAGCCAATGTCAATGCACAGCTCCGTGCCAGCAGAGAACTGTTAGATCCACCTCCAGTGCCATTTCACTGCCAGCAAAGACAATACAATGGAACAGGTGTTACTCCCTTTGCCGCCCCAACAACACTCAATGCTGATGTCGCCGCTGGTGCACTGAGGCCTGTTCGCCAACTGAATGGTCAAGAACCAATTGTTGTTGATGGTGTTGCTCATCGGCTTGTACCTCATCAGTTTGTCAGGCCAGTTGTGGCGGAGCAGCAGCCAAAACCACCTCCAAAGAAAATATTCAGAAGCAGGATGTATTGCTCTGTTTGTGGGCACAGAAAGACAGACCATGCTAGACAGGAAAAGGCTGGCAAGAACTGTGTCAGAGATTGGTGTGGCAAGTGTCATGAGAGGAAGGATTGTCATGGTGCTGATGATGGCTTTGGTCCAACATGTACAAAGGATGGCCATGCTAGAAGCCACTACAAAGGCTGGTTTGAATACAAACAGGTGAGTTGCTGTTACTATTGTTACTGGGTGACTACTTAGATATCAAACACCAACAGTTTCTTTCTTTGCCTCTTTCAATCACCAGCGCTGACCACCTCATCAGGTCCATCCAGGTTCAAGTCAACCAAGTGCTCATGAGTCTCCAGCACTCCAAAGCCATGAAGATGGTTGACACAGCCCTCCAGGTATTCCTCAGTTTCCACAGCCAGCAACTTGAAAGTGAGATTGTCCTTGTAAGTCCTGTCAAACCACTGACTGCAAGCCTCCATACACTGCTTGTGCTCACTTGTGTAGCCAGGAAACCTCTCTCCTGTGTACTCCAGAGCTAGCCAATAGATGCACCTCTTGAACTTGGCAGCCCTATTAAGGTAAATCTGTATGTCAATGTTCTCAGCAAGCATTTCAAGCACAAGACAATACCACTCAATGCTCTTCTGACTCCCCCAATATTCCATGGTGTCAATGATCTCATTCATGTCAGGAGGCACTGGCCTGGCTACTTTGGTCATGATGAGGTCTTCCAACTGGTATGGCTCAAAACAACTCACTGGTACACAATTGTAGGTGTTTGGATGGACAATTTGATGCCCTTCTGCTTGCAAGAGAACATACTTCAGTTCAAAGCTGCGCCTGGTTGCATTGAGTTCATTGTAAGGGTAGACAGTGACATCCACCAGCCACTTTGAAAAGAAAGGAGAAGCTTTGATCCTCATTGTTTTGTTCTTGGAATGGTTGTTGCTGTTGTTGGCTTCTAATGACTCAACGATGTTTTCCCTCCACGGAAACAATGACAAGATACGTTGGCGCCAAATTGTGACCGCCTTTTGTGAGAGGGTACGACGCACCTCAGCGAATAAGTCTTCCAATGTTCCACAAGACTCCAACGGTCAGACTGAGACTTTCGAGAGTTAGGCCACTTTTTTGAATCCACTATAAGATTTTGTACTAAAAGTCATTTTTTTAGAAGATTTGGTCTTGTGTGAAATTTCAGTACTAGTCTATAAAAACTTGGCCCGATTCTGGCCGAACAGGTACGCGTACGGTACGTAACCAGAATGAAGTCACCATGTTATTTGTAGATTGACAAGTAAAACATCAAAAAAATTATCTATTGAGTATTAGTTCAGTCCTATTTCGAGGGATTGCTTTAGGATGCGTAGACGAGTACCGGCATCCTACTGCTGTGCTAAAATTGAATTTAGGATGTCGCTCCCTTTTAGGATTGGACTAATACGGGGTTTCCACGAGCACGCCATGCCATTCTATCGTTGCACCCCTACTACAGGAGAGGTTCGCCGATGACCCTTTCAATGTTCCAGTCAGCGGGCAGGGCCGACCATCCTGCTTTCAAATTAAAGTAGCACGGCAGTGATGGCACGCTCTACGAATCACGGGTGACGTACGAGAGGTTCGCCAGTTGGCCAAAGGTGACGTACTGGTAGAGGTTCGTGTTCGCATTGAACATTGCTTTAGACACCGAGTCGTGCCTCGGAGAAGGTCTTAATACAGGAAAACGAGTCAGCATGCTGCCCATCGAGGCAGGCCGGAGCACCACATTGGTGCGAAACTGCACAGTGTTAGTACTAATTCTATATAGTGGAAAATGCTGTGTGCTATTAAGCTAGTAAGCTAGAAACTACTGCGATGCACCTCACAATTTGTGTTGAAAAAGAAAAACAACGGCGACAACGATGGTCAAAAAGGACTACACTGAATACCAGAGTGTCTGGATTTTCAAGGGAGTGTATAGTTGGCAGGTGGGCAGCTTCCTGGAAAGCAGGGGCCCTGTGTTCTGTGGCGTCCAGTTGGTGGATGGTCGAAAAGTCCGAGTGAAGTGGACCTCCATTCGCGAGATTTTTGAAGGGCCTGCCGAAGAGGGCAATTTTCGCTGGTTGGAACGACCAGGTGAGTGGTTGTCTGGTACCCACTACATGGTGGTTGATGGTGTGACTGTGAGCCACCACCATCACCATGAGGCAGTGGTCCAGATGGAAGCTGATGAGATCAGGCGTCATGGTGCCTGGCGCCCTCAAAACAACAACCTCTACGCCATGACAGGATACCGTGAGCGCCAGATCCAGTTGGACAACACGGTGCTTCGGCTCGAGAACAACCGCCTCCGTGAGCGTCTTGACCAATTGGAAGGCCGTATCCAGCAGGTGGAAGACTTCCTCCATGACAGCGACATCCCCAGTGGGCTTTAGTTTTTTTAAATTTAAACCTAGTGTTCTTATTTGTTAATTCTACGATGTCTCTCCTTGTTGTTGTTGTTGTTGTTGTTGTTTCTGTAGTGCTAGAAGCGACTTGCCGCGACGCTTTCCCACCTTGATGTACTTGAGATGCTGTAGGGCTTTAACTAGATTGCCCACTGACATCTTCGCTTGTTGGAATAGGGGCTCCCATTCTCCCACTACCATAAGTGGCTGCGTCTTCTCTTCCTTGGACCGTGCAATAATGCCCTTGATTATTCGGTTGGTTGCTGAATACAGGTCGGCAGGCAAGTGCTTTCTCCACTTAGCACCATGTTCCCTGTTGCGCCCTGCAATTCCGCCGTGCACACCGTTGCTATAGTGCCCAAGGCCATGCCATTCATCCCAGATCCCAGATCTTCTTTAGAGAAGTCTGTTTATTAGACATTCGAAAACAGATGTGGTCTTCTGGTTTGGACTTAGGGCGAGGCGGTGGGCCACCATCCACCACCATCAAGGGCGGTTCAGCTGTTAAAGGTGGTGTTGAAGGGGCTTCGACGTCCATAGGTGATGCTGTAGTCGATCCGTGTTGGAGGAAACATACCTGACACCTCTTTACTATTGACTCGTGTATTAATCATCTAGTCCGGTTCGCATGTAAATTCATCATGCAAGGAACCAAGGGAGTTTTAGGTCTAAAGTGCTAGGGGGGTCCTTATATCCAATTCAATCACAAGAATTGCTATGCACCACCAGAAAATCCTCACTTTTGCTTTTCAGCTTAATCTAAAACCAAATTACTCCCCAATAAGCTGCAGTATACTAGCAAACAACACTGAAAAGCAAAAGTCTATCTCGAGTTCGAAGCAGAACACACCTCGAGATTGATATCACAAGTTGATCCAAGACTATCAAGTCAAAGTGTATTGAGTTAACACTGCAACAGAGAGAGGTGCGCAGAAATAGCTCTAGCTAACTATAAAAGGGATACCAAAGCTTAACAGGAAAG